GAATGGTTCAATTTCCAGGGGAGACTCTGCCGAAATTTCGGCAGGAAGTCTCGTGCCCCTAATCATCTCTTGTAAACGAGGACATTGATTTAAGGAGTGAACCCGGCATGGGGGTGATGCCGGGGTCTCCGCAGGGTTCGTCTCGGGTTTCGGGAAATTCGGGACGAGTCCTGTCATAAAAGGCTTTTTTTTTTGCTTTTTCTTTTATTGTATATATGCAGTCAATCTCATTCAACATTGGGATACATGGCACATGTAGGAGTTGAATTAAATATTGCAGGAAATATGGTCATGGAGTGAGTTGCTCTACATGTCTACGAAGATTGCAATTATTTTAAAAAAATTTAAATAAAAAATCTAAATATTTGTTAAATTGAAATTAACATTTAATCTTTACTTTAAATTTTAGAGTAAAGTTAACCCTCCGTTCTCTACTACTATTTAAATTGAAAAAACAAGAACTAGTATTAGGGTCACAAGGAACATAAGTGGGGACTCGGCTTGCGGTTCGGACACATATAAGTCATGTGTTCACCATAATTCCCACAATGTATACAATTCATGAGAATTGCGAATCCATCGCTTCCGCCACATCTGGAACAACGTGAGTCTCTAAAGTGGCACCCACAACAATGACAAATTACCACACACCTCTTGCCAACAATTGCGTTCTCTGGGACATTATTCCTGTAAGGGCATACTTGCGTAAAGTGATCACCCACCTTTAAACAATACCCACATTCATGACCTGTGTGCAATATGTTAATTCATTGTTAAATACAATAAAAGCAATAAAAATAATCATTTTTATTTTTATTTTTTTAAACAATGAATGAATGAAGATGATAAAACTAAAAAATCAATATTGTGAGCACATTACGTAGAATAACAACAAATATGTAGATGTTATGTCATAAGAGATTAAAAAAAAAAAAAACAAATATATGTAAATATAGGCTCATTTTTATATTTTTTTTCTTTGTCCCTAAAATCAAAAGCTTACTAATAAGTTTTTCAGTCTCTGAATCATCAGTCTCCGAATCATCAGTATCCGAATAATCAGTCTCAGATTCATCAGTTTCAGATACGTCAGCCTCGGATTCATCAACCTCGGAATCATCAGTCTCGGAATCATCAGTCTCGGATTCATAAGCCTCGCTCCCTGTTTCCACCCAATTACATTGTTAAATGCAAACAGAAAAAATAATTGGCTGACGGTATTTCATTGATTCCATGATGGGTTATTGGCTGACGGTATACAAACACCAAAACAACTGCCGGAGAAATCATATCTTTAAAAGGAAAGGATACATACAGGTTATTGGCGTATCGCAGTTGATGGGGACCATAGCTGAAGATAAAAGGTCCTTTCCGCCGCCGTCCTTACAGAGCACCTTCGACTGGGAATCGAATTTCAGGCACTCCAAAGATGAGACGTTGTCCATGGCTGTGTAGATCTTGGTGTTTGGCTTTGCGGTTGTGAGAGAAAAAAGGACGGGCGGTTTGGGTTTAGGGTGAACTGTGAGAGAATGAAGAGGGGCGTTTCTTACTTAAATGATATATAGGCGGTTTGGCTTGATTGAATAACCGACCCTATTATAACCATATTAAGCAATATTATTTTTTCCATTTCAGTGTTGATTAAATAATAAATTATCATTAAAAACTAATAGACCCTAATGCACGTATCTGTAATAAGCATGGCATTTATTTCTAGTTTTGATTTGGTTTCGGATTTTTCGTTTTCTCAACTAGAGCAGGAATACTCTTTATTTGGTGATTTAGGGTCTCAAATAAAGGAAGGTAATTAATGTGGTTTTTTCCTTTGTTTTACGTTTCCTTTTATTTTCAAGTTTGCGCTAACAATGGTCATTCATGCCTAGTTGACAGCTTTTCTGTGTACGATTTTATTTGACTGGTCTGTTAACTTACAACTATATTGTATTTAAACTCCTTATTTTTCGAGCATAAGATAATATACATGTGCTACAAATTGCAATTCATTTAAACAAAACACCATGTAGACAGACAAAATCATACGATGCAATGCATGGCTGTGGAATTTGTGGCAGACGAAATAAAAGCGCATTCTTTTTTCTTTTTCTTTTTCTTTTATTGTACGCATTCCCATCTCCAACCACAGAAAGATAGGGCTGCATATAGGAGTCTTATAAAAAGAAGAAGCAGCTTGTACTGATATCTCCATGTATATGCAAACATGTCTCAACACCACATTTTCTGTTTATAAACTCAGGATGCCAGAACTTTTTTTATACTGGCGCATTTCCGACATCGGCAGCAACACCTTAGAGTCCAACTTCAAGGGTTTGGTTGCTGATGGTGTTTTCTTCACGTAATGTTTCCCAATAATGCTTTAAACAATTCACCGCCACTGAATTAATTCCCATTTGCTTTATATTGATTTGATACATATGGCTTCTTTTCTTAGAGCTTTCATCATGCAAGATTCTTCTAAAGCCCATTCAAAGCGAAATTCACCACGTCCAAATGCTCCATCATCTCCCCAAATTCCTGTACCTCCTCCATCAAAGTCGACGTGGCGAGAATTGACTGCGGCCTCCAGTTCTCGACCACCTCCTTCCGAGAAAGAGCGCACCTCCAAGAAAGAGCGCTTCAGAGATTGAAAACTCAAAAAGGAAGCTCGTCTAGATCGGTTGTTATGACTTGACTTGAAATAAACGCAACCCTTTTTAAAAATAAAAAAAATATTTAAATTACTTTCTATATTTGCGGGGTGAGTCCAAGCGGCCCTTTTCTCTCACAAATTGACCGTAAATCCCAAGCGGCAAATTTCTATTTACCCTAAATCCCAAGCGGCATTTTTCTCTTTCGCGCACACACAGCCATGGACAACGGCCTTGTGTCTCCACTTATGCAAATCCACCGGCCAAAGCCAATCAGTATGTTTTTCCGTTTTCGTTTAATTTAAGGGTTTGTGACAAAGATTATGTGCAATTTTGATTACATGCCTCGGATTTTGTGTATGACAAATTCCATTTTTACAATGAAAAATACTTGCGTTTTGGTTCTAGTAGAATTTCATCTTGTACAATATTCTACTTATTTGACTTGGAATTACTTTTCGAGAAAAACTATTTTTGAGTCCTAATTTAGAGGAATTACTTTGTATTTCTCAACAAAATATTCGTGTTGCACCTTTCTCTTTTATTTTTGGAAAATATTGGCAGATGGTGGCAAAGTTTTGCTAATTGATCAAATTAAGCTATAATTGATTTGGATTGTTGATAGACAAATTGTTAACTGCAAACAGGTATCAAAGTTGAAATACCAAAGGTTGGAAAACTAACGCATGAAGAATGTCTAACTTTTTCTTCTTTCCTCTGGGGCCCTCCTATTCCTCCTGGTATGCTTTTGATTTTGAAGAGAAACAAAAATAAATAAATAAATAAATTTGATACCCTTACCCTTGCCTCCCTCTTCCCCATTTACATATGTTTGATCATAAATTCTTTTTTTCCCCTCTTCTTATGCCATATTCAATCTCTTTTATTTTGTTTACTAGTTATTTTTATTGTGGTATTTAATAAGGGATCTTCAAATTGAATATAGGTGAATGTAAGTTTTGTTTGAAGGTGGATGAACATTATTGGTCAAATTGCCCATACATGGTCAGTGTCCCAAAGAATGCAAAAGTTGGTAGTAATTGCGATGTAATATGTAAGGTTTGTGGACGCTTCTTTAAAAAAGAGTCATGTTGTGGTAAAGATGAAGGGCGCGCGATTCCCAAGATTGAGAGGGGCACGAAACATGTTTCTTTGGATGATGGAGATCGGGTCTGAGAGCTATTATCGCAAGTGAATTGCAATTTGCAACACATGGTGGTCTATTCTATTTATCTTAAAGATGTCTTTCCTTTATATTTATGTTTTAATAGAAAGCAAGAACAATGTTGTTGATAATGACCTTTGGGTTTAAAGGCCGGACAAACTTCAATATTTGTCAAATACTTACAATAAGGCAGTGCCATCATACGCATTATTCCATATTTTCGGTTTGTAATTGATCTCTGTTTGAGTTTAAGACCCTCAACATTTGGCTCATGAGCTGCTAGTCCTCTACTGATAGTAGAGGAGGTTCTCGAGATGGCAATAAAAAAATGTAGTGTCTACACACATTGATCATAAACGATTAAAACTTGGAAGGAACTGCGGAATAATGCAATAGAAGTGCTGACATTTTAAAAAAGAGTAAAGGAAACGTTGCAAAAAATGCTATTCACATAAAGTTATCATATTTTCATAAAGCTATTTTGTTAGGATTGTCTTTCATTACGAAAGAATTCCCCAGATTTCATGACCTACAGAAGGAAAAATTATGTCAAAGAGAAAACAAAAAGAGGAAGAGGAAGAGGAATATGGAATATGGAATGCCAAACTAAAGGTTCCTTCTTCCCTTAACCCTTTCAATACAGAATCCACTACATAGAAGAAAAAACACTACTCGGAAGGATCCAAGAAAAGTACCTTTTCCTCTGGACTAGTTCTTGCTGATATTCAACTGATGTCTCAGAGTCCGCAGCAGAGATAAAATTCCCATCAGAGTCCGTGTAAGCAATATATATTATTGAACCTGCAAAGCAAAGCATTAGAAACATGTATTCACAAAAATTACTTCATTATACAGAAACAACTTTAAATGGCGAACAGCATGTTCAGCACGACCAACATACACATCAACTTTTTACGCTCTGCGTGGTTTGACCATATTCCTTTTGTTTCCTTTTGTTTTGTTTGTTTTTTTTTTACGCAAACCTTTTGTTTCCCCTTTTTTTTGGCCACACCTTTTGTTTCCTGTTTAGCTCCTTGTTTTTTTCCCCGTCTTATGGGCAAGATTTTTTTTCCTTTCCCTAAACAGAACAAGTCCTCGCTTATGAAAGGATGACTGCTGGTATTAATTTGGATGAAAAATATTTTATGTTCATCTTTCTTTTTCAACAACAAATTTGTGATATATACGTGAGCTCTTCTCAGAAGCATTTTTAATCCCATTAGAAAGATTAAAAGACTTTTCATCATTGGAGGCAGAAGAAAAAAATTTATGTAGATAAAGACCTAGGAAACAATGCCATTTATTATTAGAAACCAAAAAGAGTAAGAATCATACATAACTCTAGAGATTATAAGTTAACTGATAGAATATTGCCACTCACAAGCTGAATACATTATATAAAAAATTCAGTCTACAGGTAGTCAGTCGTGTATTCTAATTCTGTGAGTTGATTTCATGGTCTCTGGAAGCAGTAACATTGATTACATTCCTGGCAATTGTATCCAACTACTTAAGAGAGGTCGTCGAAGCCACGATTCATATGCATACATGACACTGCCATATCACTTGGCTCCACCTTCCCTTTCCTATGTGTACAATTTTACTCGCTTTGGCGGTCGACATTGTTATTAGGCTTCCAAATTATAAAAAACCGTTTTTTAAATGTTAAAATAGTAAAACCATTTTTTTTCTTTTTCGGAAAATAGTAAAACCTTCTAAGTGAGGACGCGGAGTCTGTGTTGTACCAGAATTCCTATAGACGTTAGGATTACACAGCCCACTGAAGCCTATATAATAACCCCGTCTCTTTTCTCTCACAATTTACCCTAAATCTCAAGCGGCAGTTTTATATTTACCCTAAATCCAAAGCGGCGTTTTCCCCTTCCGAGCACACACAGTCATGGACGGCGGCCTTGTGTCTCCACTTTTGCAAATCCACCGGCCAAAGTCAATCAGTATGTTTTTCCTCTTTCGTTTAATTTAAGGGTTTGTGACGAAGATTATGTGCAATTTAATTATATGCCTTAGATTTTGTGTATGATAAATTCCCTATGAGAATACTCTCGCTTTGGTTCTAGTAGAATTTCGTACAATATCCTGCTTCTATTTGTTTACTTTTAGAGAAAAATTATTTTTGAGGAAAGTATTTCGCAACAAAATATTTGTGTTGCACGTTTTTCTTTTATTTTTGGGAAATAATTGAAGATGGTGGCATGGCTTTGCTAATTGATCAAATTAAAATATAATTGATTTATCATGGTTGTGTTAGGTGGAAGCATGTTGCATATGACATTTTCTCCATGTATCATTGGCATGGCTTTGGTAAAATCAAAGTGTTGTTTTAATATTATTTTTGTTGGTGTAATTATAGAGGATATATATTATGCCAAAATTTTGAATCGGTTTTTGAAGATAATTTTTTCCATTTAAGTTATTTTGGTATGTAGACAATATTTAATAATATTGTTATTTGTTGATGGATGTCATTCCTTCTAACTTCTTTGGCATCTTCATCTTTCTACTTTTGTATTTAACAATGTAATTGCATGAAAACAGGAAGCCAAGGTATTGAATCAGATATTGTTGAATCAGATATTGTTGAATCAAAGGTTGTTGAATCGGAGGTTGTTGAACTTATTGGTAAGCTTTTGATTTTAGGGACAAACAAACAAAAAAATGCGCCTACAACTTCTATATTTACATATATTCCTTTTTTTTTTTTTTTTAATCCCTTATGACTTAACATCTATACTATGCCAAAATTTTGAATCAATTTTCGAAGATGATTTTTTCCAGCCAAGTTATTTTGGTGTGCGCATGATATAGCCGATATTTAATAATATTGTTATTTGTTGATGGGATCATAGATGTCATTCCTTCTAACTTCTTTGACATCATCACTTTTTTCTTTGTGTATTTAACAATATAATTGCATGGAAACAGGTAGCGAGTCTGATGATGAGTCGGAGGCTGAAGATGAGTCGGAGGTTGATGAGTCGGATTCTGATGAGTGGGATTCTGATGACTGGGATTCTGATGAGTTGGATTCTGATGAGTCGAATTCTGAAAAACTTATTGGTAAGCTTTTGATTTTATGGACCAAAAAAAATCTCTTATAACATCTATGTATTTGTTGTTATTTTATGTAATGTGCTCACAATACTGATTTTTGAGTTTTATCATCTTCATTCATTCATTGTTTAAAAATAATAATAATAATAATAACTGATTCTTTTTATTGCTTTTATTGCATTTAACAATGGATCAACATATTGCACACAGGTCGTGAATGTCAGTTTTGTTTAAAGGTGGGTGATCACTTTTCGCAAACATGCTCTTACAGGTATCATGTCCCAAAGAATGCAATTGTTGGCAAGAGGTGTGTGGTAGTTTGTAATTTGTGTGGTTGCCTCTTTAGAGACTTATGTTGTGGCGTTTGTGGCCAAAGCGATGGATGTGCAATTCTTATGAATTGTTTACATTGTCGGAAGATAGGTGAACACTTGATTTTTACATGTCCGAGCCGCGAGGGGAAATCTTATTTGGACCCTTATACTGGTTCTGTTGTTTCCATTTAAATGGTAGAGAATGGAGAGTTAATGGTACTCTAAAAGTTAAAGCAAAGATTAAATGTTAATTTCAATTTCAACAAATTTTTAGAATTTTTATTTTAAATGTTTTTAAATAATTGTAATCTTCGTAGACTTGTAGAGTAACTCACTTTATGAGTAGATCTCCTGCAATATTTAATTTGACTCCTACATGTGGCCCTGTATCCCTATGTTGTATGAGATTGACTGCATACAATAAATCACCCAAGTTTTAATTGTACTTACTGGTTCTCTGTCATCTTCTGCTCAGGTGGAATTTGAGCCACTTTTTCCTCCTTAGGTGTACCCTTTTTCTTGTTGCTCTTTTTATCCTTCCAACTCTCTACTCTATTCTTCCAAATTGGACTCCCATAGTCATCATTTAATTCTTCAAAGATAACAAAATAAGATAATTATAAAAAAAATGAGACAAGGGACTAAATCATGCAAGAAACAGAAATATGACTGACCACTATCCACTGCAGACACATTGCTGACGTGCCTAGCATGAATTCCGATATCCTGCTTAAACAAAGATAAAAATTAGCAAGCTGTAAGAAACCTAATATTCTTAAACACACTGAGTATAAACAAAATATTATCTCATTCTACTTAAAAAGTAGCTATCAATTACAGAATTGCAGAAACCTTTGTTTCAACCTGAGAATTATCCAGGTGAGCTGCCATTGTGGATCGAGTGCCAGAAACCTTTGTTTCATCATCTGCCAGTGAATCCAAGTAGCAGCACATAGGGGAACCAAACCTCGCATACCTTGCACAAGATTAACTTGCCCAATTCAGCATAAGAGAAAGAAAAGGTTTGATTTTGATCCCCCATCAAGTGCATGTGAACTTAATCACTATCCTAAAAAGTTGTTATGATGTCATCAACCAAACTATTTCTATAACTTATAGGTACATAATTTCCAATTATACATATGATTGTCCGCGTCGCAGGGTGTTGCCAATACTAATTGTTGTAAGGGAGAATAATAAGAAAACACTTTTGAAACAACAACATGTATTGGGTTTTTGTTTTTTTGGGGGGGGGGGGGGGTGTTTCAAAGGAGAAGTTGAAACTCTTGCCCCCTCTCTCCGCCACCATCATTTTTGTGGTTTCTTTATGTTCGGAATGAGTTACAGAGACTCTTTGGGTTCTCTGTGTAGTTTTCACCTCTCCTTTTGTGAGAGCTTTTCACCTCTCATTTTGTAAGAGCTTTTCACCTCTCTTTTGTGAGAGCTTTTCATCTCTCTATTGTGAGAGTTTTATTTGTATTGTTATGATTTAGTTTTTTTCAAGTTTTATCTCTTTTTGATTATTTTGAGTTTGTAATCTTAGTTGGGATGCCTATGCCAGAATTTCTTCGATCATGTGTGATCGTTAGTGGAGGCGCACCAGATGTTAGACCGCTCCGTTGTTGTAATGGCCCTTTGTGACTAGTTTGTATTGGTCCTTCGTGAGTCGTGACTAGTAGCTTTTTTGACTGAATTATGAATGCAATGCTAGAATTTCTCAAAAAAGAAACAACATGTATTGTCTTTTGTATATAGTTGTTGTAAATAGATCAGAATGCAATTGCTTGTGTTTCATAGGTATGACTGGATGTGAAATGTTTTTATCTGTAGGAACACAACAAGCGCCCTCCATGGTCTGTTCAACAGGGGCAACCACCTCCCCCTGCGAATCCTGTTCATTAAACTGCTTATGTGAGGCGTGCCTCGAAATTGTACAGAGGAAAATTTGTGAATTAATTTGTGACTGATTTTAAACAATTTGCACATGCAGCATGTAATAATGTGGTACTGTATATGAAATTCAACTTTACATCTATGGCAAAACCATGTATATATCATATCATATTGCAAGTATTAATAAACGTAACATCTTTTAGGGGGAAAAAGTAACTGCAGACTTGAGCTCAAACAGTTGAATGTTCATTCAATCATCAGCCGGGATGTCCTTGTCTGAAGTACTCTCCAGAAATGAGCCAAGAGTCTTTCTTAGAACACTGAAAGTTCTGTCATGCTGAGTTTATAAATAGAAATTGTGATTTTGAGACATATGTTGCACATATATGTACACATGGAGATGGAGATATCAGTACAAGCTTCTTCTTTTTATTTTTCAAGGATGAGAGAGAGAGAGAGAGAGAGAGAGAGAGAGAGAAGGGTAGTAGTACCTGCTTCTTCTTTTTCAAGGACTCCTTCAGTTTAGCAAATTTTGTCAGTACAAGCTTTCTTATGCTTGGATATCAGACTCCTTTCTTTCTTTCCTGACATGACATCAACCCATCAGAAAATTTTGGTGTATTCCACTCCTTCTGCATTTACTTGCGACCATGGAATGGTTCTTTTTCTTCGAACTAATGTCCATTGAAATGATACTCTACAGTTAAAGCAAAAGGTTCAAGAAGATTAAATGTTAATTACAATTTAACAAATAATGAGATTTTTAATTATTTTAAATGTTTTTAAATAATTGTAGTCTTCTATGCAAAAGGCTTAGGAAAAAAATCTCCTGTAATATCTAATTCGACTCCTTCTATATGCAGTCCTATCTCTCTATGGTTGAAGATGGGAATGCATACAATAAAAGAAAAAGAAAAAGGAATGCGCTTTTATGTTGTTTGCCATAAATTCCAGAGTAATGCTACTCTTATCACATTTTATATATCACATCATATACCATCTTATGTGGCAGCTGAGGTGGACAGCCACATCAATTAAAATTATTTCAATTTTTTATTTCTTTTAGCATTTATCAATTGGCAAAAAAGAAAAAGAAAAAAGAAAAGGAAATAGAAAAACCCTAGCGAATGTGAAACCCAGCCAACGTGAACACTGGTTCTCCCTACTCCTCTCCTTCGTTCCTCTCCTCTTCTACAGTCCCCGTCTCCTCTCGCCTTCTTCATTCGCTATCCTCCTACACCATCAATTGGCACTCCATTGTCCCTCCTCTGGTTATTGGTGAGTATTATGATTTTTTTTTCTATCAATTCTTTTTTTGATTGGGATGCTATATTTTCATGTTCATTCTCCTCCATTGATGACTTATGGTCATTCTCCATTGTTTCTTTTCATGCCTTTTAAAATAATTTTAACCTTTTTTTGTTCTGAATCAGTTAGAACCTGCAAGTATGAAAACATAAGTGAGAAGCTTTTACTCTTTTATGATCTATGGATAAATTATCAAATTTGAGTCATAAGATTTGATTCATGGTCCATAAAAGAAAATTTCAAATCCTGATTTGTTTATATTGCTAGGATAATCAATGAGGGTGCCAATTGAACGGAGATATCCATATTTCCTCCTTATGCCTATCCAAATTCATAACGAGTAAATGAGTCATACACAATGTTATCCAAGGAAAGTCTAATGGACTCATATTTCTTGTAACTTTTCAACTTTTCATGAACTTTCTTCATTATATGCCACAAGCACAATCGATGCCTAGTCTTAGGAAAGACTTTTGCAATTGCATTTTTCATGGCTTTGTCTTGATCTGTAATTATTCCACTCGGAGCTTGCCCAGACATACATGCAAGCCAAGATTTAAATAACCAAATAAATGTTTCAGTGTTTTCATTTGAAATCAATCCACATCTGAGTAAAATTGATTGACCGTGATGATTGACACCCACAAATGGAGCAAATGGCATATCATACTTATTAGTCAAATATGTTGTGTCAAACGTAACAATATCACAAAATTCTTCATACGCCGCCCTACTCCTTGCATTTGCCCAAAACACATTTCTTAAACGACAATCTTCATCTAAATAAATTGCATAGAAAATTTGAATTATGAGCCTGCTTATTTGTAAAGTACTTTAGAATTGCAGTAGCATCTCCTTCCCCAAGTCGTAAGCACCTAACCTTCTCAATATAATTTCTACAATCCTTCTCTAAACATTTCATGTTCTCATGTCCGCCCACTTCAACCAACATTGAATTATAACTTTTATTCAACCTTATTCCAGCTTTGTCATTCACTTCAAGTTTTTTTTTTTAAAATATTTGAGCTAATTTCTCGAAAACACTTCCAATGTCGTGTTTTTGTTGGACTCAATCCATGATTAAAAAGAAGAAGCAGCTTGTACTGATATCTCCATGTATATGCAAACATGTCTCAACACCACATTTTCTGTTTATAAACTCAGGATGCCAGAACTTTTTTTATACTGGCGCATTTCTGACATCGGCAGCAACACCTTAGAGTCCAAATTCAAGGGTTTGGTTGCTGATGGTGTTTCTTCACGTAATGTTTCCCAATAATGCTTTAAACAATTCACTGCCCATTGAAACAGGCCGATATATACGGGCTTTGAAGCTCTGGAATTAATTCCCATTTGCTTTATATTGATTTGATTCATATGGCTTCTTTTCTTAGAGCTATCATCGTGCAAGATTCTTCTTAAGCCCATTCAAAGCGAAATTCACCTCGTCCAAATGCTCCATCATCTCCCCAAATTCCTGTGCCTCCTCCATCAAAGTCGACATGGCAAGAATTGACGGCGGCCTCGTGTCGACCACCTCCTTCCTAGAAAGAGCGCACCTCCAAGAAAGAGCGCTTCAGAGATTGAAAACTCAAAAAGGAAGCTCGTCTAGATCGGTTGTTTTGACTTGACTTGAAATAAACGCAACCTTTTTATTATTATTTAATATTTAAATTACTTTCTATATTTGCGGGGTGAGGACGCGCAGGATTCCTATAGACGTTAGAGTTACGCAGCCCAGTGAAGCCTATATAAGAACCCCCTACCCATCTCTTTTCTCTCACAAATTGACCCCAAATCCCAAGCGGCATTTTTCTCTTTCGCGCACACACAGCCATGGACGACGGCCTTGTGTCTCCACTTATGCAAATCCACGGGCCAAAGCCAATCAGTATGTTTTTTTTTTTGTTCGTTTAATTTAAAGGTTTGTGACAAAGATTATGTGCAATTTTGATTACATGCCTCAGATTTTGTGTATGATAAATTCCCTTTTACAATGAAAAATACTTACGTTTTGGTTCTAGTAGAATTTCATCTCGTACAATATTCTACTTCTAATTGACCTTGGAATTAATTTTCGAGAAAAACTATTTTTGAGTCCTAATTTAGAGGAATTACTTTGTATTTCTCAACAAAATATTTTCGTGTTGCACCTTTCTCTTTTATTTTTGGAAAATATTTGCAGATGGTGGCAAAGCTTTGCTAATTGATCAAATTAAGCTATAATTGATTTGGATTGTTGACAGACAAATTGGTAATTGCAAACAGGTAGCGAGGTTGAAATACCAAGGATTGGAAAACTAACGCATGAAGAATGTGCTACTTTTTTTTCTTTCCTATGGGGCCCTCCTATTCCTCGTGGTATGCTTTTGATTTTGAAGAGAAACAAAAATAAATAAATAAATAAATTTGATACCCTTCTCCATTCCCCAAACCCTTGCCTCCCTCTTCTCCATTTCCATATGTTTGATCATAAATTCTTTTTTTTTCCTCTTCTTATGACATATTCAATCTCTTTTATTTTGTTTACTAGTTATTTTTATTGTGGTATTTAATAAGGGATATACAAATTGAACACAGGTGAATGTAAGTTTTGTTTGAAGGTGGATGAACATTATTGGTCAAATTGCCCATACATGATCAGTGTCCCAAAGAATGCAAAAGTTGGTAGTAATTGCGATGTAATATGTAAGGTTTGTGGACTCTTCTTTAAAAAAGAGTCATGTTGTGGTAAAGACGAAGGGCGGGCGATTCCCAAGATTGGTAGGCGCGCGAAACATGTTTCTTTGGATGATGGAGTTCGGGTCTGAGAGCTATTATCGCAAGTAAATTGCAATTTGCAACACATGGTCTATTCTATTTATGCATCTTATGTAACACCCCGACCCCAAATTTATCCCATGTTTAATTAATTTAAGTGGAATTGAAAAATTACCCGTGGGATAGGGGTATTTTAGTCATTTTCTTATCCGGAAGGAATTTGGGAATTCTGGTTGTACCGTTGCGTAGAGCACGGTGAGATGAGT